GAAAAGTGTCCTGAGCTAACTTCTATTATGAATTGGCGCTGTACAAATAAATAAAATTGAAATTGAAAAATTTCATTATCTTTATGTGGCTCTGATTTGTGGTTGTTTGCATTCATTTTCCCTCTTTTGATGTCCAGGTATGCTACAGTGTGAGCCTAGTCAAGTGAGAGACAAGAACCAGATCTTCCGTCTCTTCTGCCATGAGTGTCAGCGTGTGTTCCATGACCGACTCATCAACAACCAAGACAAGGCCTATTTCAACACCATTGTCTGTGAAATGGCCAGTAAGAATTCGCCTCACTCTGCTAAATGCGCAAACTGTTTGAATCCTGCACATGTTGGATTACTAAGTGTCACTCTATCTATTTTCCACTTATTTTGTATTTTGAAGAATTTCCCTCTTTTTGACCTGTTTCTTTCTACCAGGCAGATATTTTAGCATTAACTTGGAGTCCTCATACTTTGTCACTCAACCCATCATATTTGGGGACTTCATCAAGGTCAGATTCTATTTTCTTATCAGAAATGCTTGATAAGTTCAGAAAACATTTGATTTTTATATTTACACTTCCTCATAGCATTCATGTGTTCCCATTGCTCTCCATCTGCTAATCCCTGTAGGTGGGTGCAGAGAAAGGCGATCGACTGTATGAGGATCTGACAAACATGGTTAAGATTCAAGCTGTTCTCCAGGACTACCTCGACGACTACAACATGACCTTCTCCAAGGAGACCAAGCTGGTTTTCTTCCAGGACGCTATCGAGCACGTCTCCAGGTGTGTTCCTCAAAAAAGGAATATCTAGAAAGACATTGTGACATGCTCAATTTACTTCTTGAAAAACAGCTCTTACACACAGTCTTAAAAAGTCATAAAAACTCTAAAATCCTATAATCTGAATTTTAGAAAGATATATTGCATACATTTGCAAATGTTTTTACATAATTAATTTGTGTACACCACGTCTCTGCTTATATGTTTATGGGTTCTGTTGTATCAAGGCATATCTGCTCTACAATATAAGTGAGTGGTGACTAGGTAGAGCTAGTCCATGTATGCTATGCAATAATGTGGACATGGAACATGGTTATAATAATATCCTTTATATATCTTTATAACCACAACTTCTTTATGTCAAATAATTACTGTGATCTTCTAGGATTGCCCGTATGATTCGCCAGGAGAGAGGCAATGCCCTGCTAGTAGGGGTGGGAGGTACAGGCAAGCAGTCACTCACTCGGCTGGCCTCGCACATGTGTGGGTACCGCTGCTTTGAGATCGAATTGAGACGAGGCTACAACTATGACAGCTTCCACGAGGACCTTAGGAGGCTCTACAAGATGGCTGGTGTGGAAGGCAAAGATATGGTGTTCCTCTTTACAGATACTCAGGTATGATGGAAGGTGGATATACACATAAACATTTGGATGCCTGCAGGTTGTGTTTTTTGTTTTGCACATTCAAGTTAATTTAGAGGTGTCCACATTCTGTCCTGTTGTAGATTGTGGTGGAGGAGTTTTTAGAGGATATCAACAACATGCTGAACTCTGGCGAGGTGCCCAACCTTTTTGAGAAAGATGAGTTGGAACAAGTACTAGCTGCCACCCGCCCGAAAGCCAAAGAGGTTGGAATCAGTGAGGAGAACAGGGATGAGGTACACACAGACACAAGTAGAATAGGTTTCTTATTCTGGCAGAAAGAATGTTGCAGTCTATATATCTATAACTTGTGCAAGCAAACAGATGAATTCAACTTTTCTGTGAAGACTATCAGAGAGAATTAAGTATAAACTGATTCATACACAGTTGCTCATCTTAGAGTTGATATTCTTTGTTGAACATTGTTTTCAATTCACAAAGGACAGTTGTTTACTCAAGGGTAAGACTGTGTGGTAAACATGAGATGTTCAAATTAAGATCATTGAGATCATCAGTATCAAAATCTGCAGTAAGCTCTTAAAGAAGTGGAAACAAAGACTGACCACTGCCAATAGCTAAAAGAACAACAACAACTTTCATAATATTTCAGAAACAACACACATACAGTGTTTCCCACAAAGGGCCAAAATAGAAGAGTCTGGCCAAGAGTAGTCAGTTAAAGCCAGTGCAGCCAAGCGAGCACAATATCAGCCATAAATGTTTACTTCTTTCCGAGACCCAACCCCCAGAAATGATGGAATCTCTGCGTTTATGTGGCCCATTAGGTCTTCCAGTATTTCATCTCTCGTGTACGGGAGAAGCTGCACATTGTGCTCTGTATGAGTCCCGTGGGCGATGCCTTCAGGTCCCGCTGTCGTATGTTTCCTTCACTGGTCAACTGCTGCACCATTGACTGGTTTGTGCAGGTATGCTGAGATAGTGCTCATTCTTTATACCATATGTAATCATATATAATTACCCTGTTTGGTTTGTGGTTGTGAAGTTTAAGATCATTGTGTAAATATTATACATAGACAGAATATTTGAATAAAATTGTTCTAACTGGTAGAAACATGTTATAGGGATTATCTGTTTGTTATGATGTATCACTCTGCTTGTCTTGAACCTGTCTACAGCACCATTCTTCTTTCAATCTAACATTACCATCATGCTACTGGTCCTGCAAATATGTTTTACTACTATCCTCTCTCTAACCCACCATTCTCCTCACCTGCTCCTGTTCAGGATTGTAGTTTATGGCTTTCTATCCATATTGTTCCTTTCACATCCTCTGTTAACATATTGAATTTCATTTTTATTCAGTTGTGAAAGCTTGTAATTCACATCTCTATTAAATGTTTTTATTATTGCATTTGTGTCTTTATATTGCTGTTTTGTTGAATCACTGTGCAAACAAAAGCTAAAATAAAAGCTATATTTTCTTGCCCGTGCTGCAAACCTTAACTCACTCTTTCCTCCTTTCCCCTTTACGCCCTGGTGCCCAGTGGCCTCGTGAGGCACTGCTCTCTGTCTCTCAGTGCTTCTTCCAGAATGTGGACTTTGGCAGTGAGGAGCTGAAGCAGAGTTTCTCAGCCATGTGCGTGGAGATACATGTTAGTGTCACTGACATGGCTGATCGCTTCTACTCAGAGCTGAAACGCCGATACTACACCACACCTACCTCCTACCTGGAGCTTATAAACCTCTACCTGTCCATGCTAGAGGAGAAGAGACGGCAGCTAGTGGTTGTAAGTCTAACCATCAATATACAGACTTTCAGTATAAGTGACTGGTTGTAGTGTTGATGATGAATCTACCTGGCATTGTTTAAAAGGAAATAGCAGCTAGTTGGTTTAGCTTGTAGTAATTGTGAACATATTATCTGTGATTAGCTTTTTGTGGTTGTGGTACTGCAATGCATTTAGTCTTATTTTGATTACGGCTGCATGAAAAATATGATACATGTATATCTGTGTGTGGGTGTGTTTATGTATAGGCCAGGGATCGTGTGAAGAATGGTCTGACCAAACTGCTGGAGACCAATGAGCTTGTGGACAAAATGAAAGTGGACCTATCTGCTCTGGAGCCTGTCCTAAAACAAAAATCCATCGATGTTGATGCCCTCATGGAGAAACTGAGTATAGACCAGGAGAGCGCCGACGAGGTCTGTGTTTTGTGTTTGTGAGAGGGAGATGAGTGAGAAAGATGATCACAGAACTTTGAAAAATGTGTTTGTCTCTTATCTGAAACCTCCAAAACCGTTTTCTCAATGCTGCAGTGTATGTGTATGTGTCATACAAAACATATACTCTTGCCACAGGTGCGTAAAGTAGTAAAAGAGGATGAGCTTTTGGCCAAGGTCAAAGCTGAAGACACCCAGGCCCATAAGCCGATGATGCCCAGAGGGACCTGGATGAGGCTCTGCCAGCCCTGGAGGGTGCCAATCAGGCCCTTAAAGTTCCTCTCGACAAGCTGACATCCTCGGAGATCAAGGTGTTCACCAAACCCCCAGACCTAGTCATGACCGTCATGGAGGCTGTCTGCATCCTGCTCAACTGCAAGTGAGTGTGCTTTATTCTCACTCTAAAATAGGTGTCTCCGCCTCTCTTATCACATGAAAATGCCCTTGTCTACCCAGCCAATGTTCCACATAATGTGGGATGGCAGACGCCATTTGATAGGGCTTTTTCACAGTCATAAGTGCTTAGAGGACAGTGCTGACATTAAGGGCTTGGTGAATACTAATAGCTAATTTCTATATGAGATGTGTTTCATTTGTTCAGCACAACTGATTTTATTCAGCACTGATGGCAAATGGTCATCTTTAAACTAATTCTGTCAGATCAAAATAAAATACTGGAGTTCGCACCCAATCCAATTTCAGTCTAGAATAAGTTCCTACCAAACATAAAGAATACCCAAACAAACAAGGATGATAATTTATGATTATTCACAGTCATTACTGTAACCACCTTCATCATCATGGCACTTATGATATCATCAGCATAGTTATTATCAACATCATTTTCAAAAATGATGATCATTATTGGAATCAATCTAATGTCACTTTGCCAAATGTACTAGATTTGGGGCTTTTTTGTAATCCCACATATTTTGTGGTCAGCATTTAGAGGGATTACCCTTCCATCTCATGACTCATACCTCTTTCACACTTCTTAATCATTAATCTACTACATTGCTGCCCTAAATCCAAAACACCCAGTGTTTCACCACTGGCACACTTGCAGCACTATGTGGTACCGTCACTGACTGCTAGTACTGTGATATGTTACATCAATCTATGTAATGTATCTGTTGATATTGGACTATTTTGTTTGCTTTTGTTCTGAGCTGTGATGTGAGACGTTGTATGTACAGTATGTCATAGTGGATCATATCATGACCTACAGTAGTTTGTTACCATGCAACTTGGTTATTTGTAAGTATTGCTTTATTCTTGTATCTTTGCTAGCAATTAACAGTTCAGGCTTGGTTTTGTAACGCATGCACCATGTACTATAAATGTGTAGCAATCTGCCAGACTAGGACTCCAAATTGATATATTGAGATATATTTTGTCCCCATATAAAGTAAGCCAGACATGCACACTTATTAATTATTATTAGGCATTTTCCTAGGCCCCCTTTTTTCCACAGATCCTCACCAACATCCCTTTCTCCTTACAGACCAGACTGGCCCGGTGCCAAGCAATTGCTGGGAGATGCCAATTTCCTCAGGCGCCTGACAGACTATGACAAGGACAATATCAAGCCTCAGATCCTGCTGAAGCTGCAGAAATACATCAAAAACCCTGATTTCATACCTGAGAAGGTCTGTTTGGATTTCATGTCAAACATTCTTGACTTGTTAGTCAGATCTTTTTGAATAGGGTTCAGAGTAAAATGGGCTTGAAAAACACTTTGACAGTTTTGAGAGTGCCAGAGCCAGTAGCCAGGACGGAAACTGTAAAATATCTGCTTAATTTTTGATTTTGGTGTTATGGTAATATGTGTTGATTTTATGGTGGCATAAATTGTCAAAAATGTGTGGAATGTAACACAGGATATTTCTATATCTGTAACTTGGTGCAATTCGTTATTGTGTCTCTGCTGTTAGGTGGAGAAGGTATCCAAAGCCTGCAGATCAATGTGCATGTGGGTCAGAGCCATGGATCTTTACTCCAGAGTCCTCAAAGAAGTGGGCCCCAAGAGAGAAAAACTGGCCAAGGCACAGGTCAGTAACATACAGCAGAGTGCACTATGCACATATATATAGGTTGTTGGTTTGATCCCCAGCTCCTCTCGCCACTTGTCGAAGTGACCTTGAGCAAGACAGTGAACCCCAAAGTGCTCCCGATGCTGTGCATTGCTGTATGAGTGTGTATGAATGTACGCAAATGGGGTGAGTGCGGCATGAGTGGTCGAAAGACTATAAATGCGCTATATAAGTAAGGTCCATTTACCATATAGGTATTAATTATATATGTGGACATTGGAATGTATAGTGCTTTACAAGGTCTGGTTTTAAATTTCAACAATACCTGTTTCTATAAAGTCTGTTAACAATCAAAATATTCATCCACCAAACACATTTAGGATTGCCCTGCATACATGGATCAAATGTTCATTAAAGATATTTCTCATGGTCCCTTTCTGCCTCTTTTCCATGCAGGAGGAGCTGGACATGACTATGGCCACCCTG